CTGGGTTTCCTCCCTCCACAAAAACCAACATCTCCAAATTCTAATTCGACCAGGATAGAGGACCTGCATGAAAACCAGCTAAGGCTGATGTTGCTTCCTCTCTAATGTTGTAATTTATTATTTATTATTTTTACATTACCATTGGTTCTATTTAGAGTCTCGTTAGCCTTGCCAAACCAGTACTCTGTAGTAGTAATATTGTGGTTGACATTCATCTCTGTTGTCGTCAGTTCATGAACAGCTTGACCGGGTTGCGGACCTGGAGCCTGAGTCTGCCCTGGGTTAAGAGTTGTCTGAGATATCGGAAAAGGGTACCCGGGAATTCCGCCTTCCACAGCTGGTGGACTTGGTGCAGGGGCCGGCTCTGGAGCCGGTTGCTGGGTCGGCTGTGGAGCCGGTTGTTGGGTTGGCTGTGGTACCAGTTCCTGGGTTACCAGTGGTACCGGTGCAGGTGATAAGGGTATGGTGCCACCGGTGACTGTTGCTACAAGGGATGGAGTCGGTACAGCTCCTTGTCCTGACACTACAGACTTTAAGATTACAACAGTTGTTAAGAAATCAAAACTCTCTCTCAATATAAGATTTCTTACCAAATAGGTCTTGGTGCGGTAATTTACAACGACAAATAAAAGAGACTAAGTAACGGCAGGAATTAGGGTTTTCAGAAATTCGAGAATCAAATAGAAGATATAGATCGAAATTCAGAAGAAACCAGTTTAGGTACGAAGAAAATGTCTCTCTCCCTTTACTGTTTGTGTTGATTATTTTATGGGAGTGAAAAACACGAAGAAGGATCGTACTTATTCGCACTTTAAAATAGCTAGGATGGACGTTTTCTTCTATTTCCCATAAAAACTGTAACTAAACAGCATATTCTTGAGAAACTCTTTTCCTTTTACCTGTCCTGGCTGAGGAGCTGGCTGGGTAGCTGTCGGCTGAGAAGTTGGTGCTACAGCTACTGACGTCTCTAACATTGGGGTAGTCTGACCGCTGGCTGATGGAACAACAGAAGCAATAGGCACCACAGGGACTCCAGCACTCGGAGACGGAGATGGTATTGAAGTTGCTGCAGGGACTAATCCCGTTGCATTGGCATAGGGAATTCCTCCTGAACTGGTTGCTTGTGGTTGAGGTGACGTTGCGGGTGATGGTTGAACAGCTTGGGAACTGACACCTGCACTAGCGTTTGATGATGGTGACGATGCAACTGGTACGACTTCGGTTGCTGAAGGCTGGACACTGGAAGCAGCGTTTGGTGTTGTCGCTGATGCTGTAGGTGCCGGTAACAGTTCTGTAGCGTTACCATACTGCACACTTGGCTCCGGTGCTGTTGGAATGAGGCTGGTAATGTTTGTTGTCGGCTGGGCCGTTTCGTTCGCAAGACCGTTTGCCACTTTGTTTGCTATGTTGGACACCAGAGCATCTGTGTTGTCTTGGTGATGAATTTTGTGCTTTGCTTTCCCTCTGTGATGTTTGAATCTTAATGTCTTTTCTGAATCACCGTTATCTAGATTAAACGAAAGTATATAGAGATTCAGTGCATTATAATCGATTATATATGTTCCTTTAAAACAGCCGGCGCTGATGTCCTGGTTTCGAAGCTTTTCTCAACATGTAGTTAAGTTATCCGCCGGTACTCCATCGTTCATCTTTCGATAGAAATATGGCTCTGTGAGATTTCACTATAAAATAGGAAATTAACCGTCCGCTACACTTGAACTTTTGACAACCCGCTAACCATTAGCTGACTACCAAAGTGCGGACGTCTATTTTCTGTGTGTGTTCCAACTTTGTCCTCAGATGTTATATTCTCTTACGTATTTTGCCACCCTCATCTTTCCGTCTGTCTTTCAATGAGAATGATCACCAAGTTCATTTCCAGTACCTAGTTCTTGAGATAAAACTAATAAACGCCGCTTGCAAGTCTGGCCATATCGCCATACTGACAAGCAGATTTTCTAACCTTGATAAAACACACAACCTTCGTTGTGGAATTAAATGAATACAGGACACTAAGTCTGCTTACTTTTTTTCATCAAAAATTGTCTTAGATGCTCCTAGTGCACTTAACATCTTACAAATACGCTAAACTAAGAAAAGAATGTCGGCGGTGCGTCGCCGTTACTATATGTACCTATACATTCTCCCCAGACTCCATCCCGGTCATAATTCATTGTGATTGAACACCATGGCATATTGTGGTCCAGATAGGTGCACGTATAGTGCATCACGCCATTGTATTTAAAAGGAAACACACAGCAACCGCCATAAGCGTTTCCGTCCTTGGTCCTTACGCCGCATGAGGTTCCTAAACAAAAGAAATAGTAATATGAGAACAACTCAGTAGTGGCCAGACAGAAACTTTGGAACTGTGGAACGATGGAACGGCAGGCCGTGAAAGCAAATTAAGAAACTCATTCGTGATCATAATTGTGCAGTAACCTTTTGATAATGTTTCCTCGCAATGTCAAAACATTTATCAAATATTGAGAAAAATAAAGAAAACTAATCATGGGCACGGGTCTCTCTCCTTTGCAAAGGTTCAAAAGGATTTTTCTGGGTGGGGAGAATTCGCTGAACGATAGTGCAAGTGCAAGCGCATGGTTTGCGCCTGCACTCACCTAACAAAACGGCTTTCTATAACGAACGTTACGAACCTTTACAGAGGAGAGAGGGCATGGGTGGTGTTGTTATACTACCAAAATCTTCAGAACGTACATAACAAGAGATGAGTGTGGCAACAGAAAATTCATGTCACTTGGACTCAGTGGTGGGCTGGGTTGTTCAAAAGCTGGTTAACGCTAACCCAGGATTAAAAGTTAACCGGGGTAACAATTTTTCTTCTATAAAAATGTTATCCACCGCTTATGTTTTGTGTAGTTTGAGATTACTCATGCTCAAAACTGAAGGGCAAAAAATATAAAAAGAACACC